AAACGCCGTATCCGTCTGGACGCGAGGCTGATACGATAAAGTATTTATCCGGATTCTAAAAAAATGTGTTTGTGTGGACGGCCCCTGAGAGAAGTGAATGTTTCTTCATCATGAAACACAGGAGTTGTGATCTTTGTCACACAATTAAAGGTGTTAGACCATTAGTGTTCAGTTTCCTGTGGAGCCCAGGTGTCAGTCTGGACCTCAGGGTCTGGGTGTGACGGACTTCAGATAATCAGGGTAGTTTCTGATCACAATTGAATGATTTGAAGGAAAAGCTTTTATTTGTAATGTGATGGCGATTCAAACAGGAAGTCACAGGCATTCACTATTCATTACACAAGCAGTAGGTCCAGAGAACTGACACAGACGTAAAGACCCAACAGAAAACACAAATACGGAGCACATCCACTCACATTATGGAAATATTAGTATATTTCAGGCTGTGATTTGACTGTTCTGCTGTTGAAAAGAGTCCAATGCACAGCGGAGTCACAAAGTATTTATCCTCCGTCACATCGGTGTTAGAAAAACCTAAAAGGTGACTTGTAAACACTTGCTGCTGTATTTCAGAATCATCGTCTTCCAACCACCTGCATGACAAAACATTCCCATTTGTGACTATTTCCTATCGAGCTAGCCAGCAACCTATCATCTTTATTTTGATTGGTGCAAAAATGGGGTGAAAATCTGATTTCTTTCCATTCAGATGGTTAGAGGAGCGTTATTAGATCAGAACTGAGGCACATGTTTTTACAGGTTCTTTTAAATCAGTCAGCAAGATCGTATCAGGAAAGAAAAATGTGTAGTTTATAAATGTGTGGTTTTTTTTTTTAGTTAAAGGAGATGGTGGTGGTGGAGGAGATGATGATCAATTGTCACTATCAGGAGAGTCTCAATTCTAAACTCTGGCAGGTTGATGAAAGCTGAACTATTTCACGTACTCAGCAGAACATAATGAGAATAATGCATCTAAAGAAACAGTTGAATTAGTGTATTTATATACAACTCCATGGGGCTCCTCTAAGGAGAGCATGGCAGAACAATTGGCTGAAAGGATGCCCTTGGTGTACTATGCAGCATATGCTTAGAGTAGAGGAGTTGGTGTTAGCACTCCTTTACTGAAGAGTGAAAACTGTGTGTGTGTGTGCTTTTCTTGCAGTCCTTGAAGTCCTGTGGGTATGTCAAGGAGCAATTTGCCTGGCGCCATTTCTACTGGTACCTCACCAATGAAGGTATTCAGTATCTGAGAGACTTCCTCCACCTTCCCCCTGAGATCGTGCCCGCCACCCTGCGCCGCCAGACCCGCCCTGAGACCGCAAGGCCCAGGCCCAAGGGTAAGCTCACTCATGTACATGTAATGTGGGTTTGGTTGAATTTTAGCTTGCATGTAACTGTTGGTGCTAACTACTGACACTGCTCTTTAAAGCTAGTATCAACCACTGCCACTAGAGGACTAATGTTATGGCTCTAGTGTCAACAAGTCAACAGCTAATGTTGATGCAAACGTGCTGAGTGGAAACGTTCCAAAGAGATGAACCCCGTGGAGTCAAATGCTGCTGCCATAGTTCAGGATTTAGAGTTTAGGAACTCTGATAATTAATAGTTTGAGATGACCTGTAAATAAAAAAATGTTTTATCATTTATTAAAATGGAAAGAAACAAATCAAGTCTTGCTAAGAATTTAGTAGCAATGGCTGTGACTGATATCCCCCATATCAGTAAATATCTCTTCACATACAAATCTCAGTTAATGTTCTCGTCCACCATATTAAATTTCACAATAAATAAGCTCTTATATTAGCCTGTGCTCCTCCGGTCCACGTTACATAGCACTGGCTTTACATGGCATGCGGCAGACGCTTCTAATCACCCTGTTTAAGTCCAGTTGTTGATTACACTAAATGTTGGGTTTTTACACTGAAATGAAGTCCTGTGGGATCCTGTCACCCTCCCTCCTGCTGATGTAAAGCCACTCGCTGCCGGTGGAGAGGAGAGGCTGGGTGGTCTGAGTCTGTCTGAGAAAACAACTCATTTTCAGATCAATAGTTAATTGGGCTTAACCGTTACACACAATTTGCTTAACGCAATATACCAGATGTGGACCTAAACTCTTTTATTCTCTTGAAGTTCCTGTCTGAGTGATCATCATGCATCCCTAGCTTTATGTACAGGATAACATGACAGCAGGAAAGTTTGGGGTTATGTTTCCCCCCAAACCTACAAATGTCTTCAAGTTGAATAATCTGCTCATAGACTTGTATAGCATATGTGTATTTAGCTTAAAAACTGAACCATAGTGGACCCGAGCTTAATTTTTCCTTGTTTGTTTAGGAATGGAAGGCGAGAGGCCTGCCCGCCTTAACCGCGGCGAGGCTGACAGAGATACATACAGGCGATCTGCTGCACCCCGTAAGTATACTTGGAACAATAAGTCACCGTTTATAGACAGTTGCTTATGTGCTCTTACGCTGTGTGAATAGTGTAATGAGAAGCTTAAAGTGAGACAGGTTAATTTTTAAAATGGTATTAGGGAAATTCATGCTGTGACACACATAATCATGCTTATATTGTATTTAACAATGCAAATTAAGTCTTAGTATAATAGTTGGTTTACACTAATTGAAAAGTGATTTACCTTAGATATGTTCCCTTAAATATAGTGGAGAATACTTTCTCAAAAGTAAACATTGTGTTTGTGTATAAGAGCCTCTTGTCTTACCAGTTTCCGGTGGCTAATGTGTTTTTGAAGCTTGGTATGAAAGTCGCTGACTTGTAAATTCATAACTTCTCCATCAGCTGGCGCTGACAAGAAAGCTGAGGCCGGTGCTGGAGCTGCCACAGAGTTCCAGTTCGTAAGTACTGCTGCCATATTTGAACTGTGAAACCTTGTAAATAATTTTTCCCTTGTGGGTATTTTTTTGTATTCGAGACAAGAGCATATTTGTGGTCTTGAGTCACTTTTTTTTCTTGTTATGGCAAATGAGGAATGTTTTCAACAGCAATTATAAAACAAGAATACCCAACAGCCCTCCCTGAATCTGTTGTTTGCTTGTGGGTGCGGTTTTACAATGGCTTCAATAAGGAATGCCAGCAAGCTAAATTTAGTTTGTATAGTGCAATTATAAGACTGTTATTCTTTTGTTGACTGATGTATTGACACAGACTTTTCCGTGTTGCAGAGAGGTGGCTTTGGACGCGGCAGAGGACAGCAGCCTCAGTAAATTTCACTCGCTCTTTCTGTACAATAAAGAAAATAAAACACAACTCGTCTGTATGGGTATTGTTTGAATTAATAAGGATTGTGATTGACAAATTTAAAACACAACAATTAGTTTCAGACATCACTGGATTTTTTTTTTTTGTATGCTGAATAGAAAGAAGTAAAGTTGGATTTAGATTCTGAAGATTGAGTCAAACAAGATGAGTGACCAGATGAGTACGACAGAATATAAAACAGATTCAGTTAGACTTCATGTAAAATGTTCTTATCTTTGACCAGATACAGAATATAGTGAGTCACAAGATTCAAGTGACTATAATTTTGAAAGAAGCTTAGGAGCTCTTTTTGACTTGTTCTGGTATATTAAAGTGTCCCAGTAAGCTGTGACACTAACCCTGACACTACATAGAACTTAACTATATTATACCTGTGGCTTCTGTTTTTCCTACAGTCACACTGTCAACATTTCTGTGAAAAGGCAAATGGTGTGTTTGGCTCTAACTTGTGCCTATGACATGTTGGGAAAGAGGTGGGTCTGAGATGGTGAGACTGAGGCCCTACACACCTTTGGTACACAGTCATATTGCACTTGTTCAAGTGGGACAAATCAGTTTTTTTCACTATATAGATTAGGCGACGTAATTTACCACAGAGCTCAGTGCGAACACCTGTGTGGGTGTGCAGGTCCTTCAAACCATGCAATATGATATATCGTGTAACAGGAAATATGAAATGAAACACATTTTTATGACTGCTTTTAATGTGAAATAATACCAATTAACAATTGTTTTATACTGACATAAAAAGATCAAAGATCAAACTTCAATCTAACCACAACTTCTGAATTCAACCAATTTAAACTTCAGACATCCAAAAAAATTTCTTCCAGAAAATGAAATGCTTTTTGTTGTTTGAGCAGTTTCACCACCATCCACAAGTAATTTAAATTTTTTCCAGCTGTGAGAAGCTCCTCCATTTCCTTTGTGCTTTGCATTGTGGAAGAATAGTGTGTATCAATAGCACACTCAAAGGTTTCTGTGCATACTGACTAGATTTTATTAACACTTGTTCACTTTCCTATAGTGAACCCATATACCTAAAAACCTGTGTAGAATCAGTATTTTGTGTGAATTTAGGTCAAAGGTGAGCTGGAAAAGCATTTTATTTGAGAAAATATTTAGAAAGAGTGATGTTTTACAGCACAGTGTTATTTTCTGTAAGTATAGAACAGTTAAAGCTCCAGTGTGTAACATTCAGGAGGATCTGTTGGCAGAAATGGAATATAATATTCATAGGTATGTTATTATGGTTTTGTTACCTTAGAATCAGTCTTTTACAGATGCTCGTTTCATGGCCAATGTAGCTTCTACATGCTCGTAAGGGCAGAGTTAAGCAAAGGAGTTACAACCTGCAACTGCAATGCTAGATACCAATACTTTTTTTTTTTTGACTGAAATTGATTTATTGAATAATACGTGCAAAAAGAACTGAAAACAAATCTGTATATATTGTATACCATTAGTTGTAGTATGGAATGAGGACACAGCAATATTATGACAAATAGAACTTAGTATATAATCTATAATCTTCAAATCAATCCTCTTATCTGCATTCTAGTGTAGTATTACTGTATGAAATAAGCACTGCGGGGCACAAACATCATTCAACACAATCTCACTGACATGAACACAAACAATGAAACTAGCCTGAATGTGAAATACTGGTGTTTATTTGTTGGCACATTTATATTACAATCTTCAGTCTTCTCGCACTGGTTTTATTCCACAGTCCCAAATGACAAAAGAGAGGAAAAGAAAATTCCAGTGACGCGTATACCTCGGAGAACACAATTACGAGTATGTAACTTCAAGGCTGAGGTCAATGGCTAGAAGTGCACGTTTATTTTTCTTATTCAACTGCAAGTGTTTGGGGTCTTTAAACAGCTGTTCAATCAATTTATAATTGTTTTATAATCATTTAAAGTCTTTCAGTCGTGAAATCGGCCACCTGACCATCATGCTAAAACAAACTGAATGTTACAATCCTCAGCTGTGATGTGCTTTTAATGTTTTTGTTTTGGCCACAAGATGGTGCAATATATTTAAACCATCACCTTTGGTAAATTAAAAGGAAGTGACTTCTTCTAATTTTTCTCTCTATGATTCATCCTGGTTTCGCCAAGTTCAGAGGCTTCAATGTCAAACGGGCCAAATGTGATAGCAGAAATCTCCAGTGAGAAAAGGGGGTAGATGCGTTTGCTCCATCATAACTCCAATGTGCTTATATGGAGACACTTCAGAAATTCCCTCCTAAACGTATGACAGGAACCGTCTCAATTCTGAGTTCGAAGGAAATTGTTTAAAACCAATGGACACTACTCCTTATTGACCAAAGCCAAAGTACATCCTCTGGCTGTAAGGGTGCTGTGTTAGCTATATACATGACATTAGCTTGTCAATAACACAACAGATTAAAGAACAAACAGAAAAAAAAAATATGGAGAAAGAACAAGTGGTCATTAATAATTAAGTCACTGGCTGTTACTTGTGGAAATCCTCCTCACATTCATTTTGACAGTACCTGTCACCCGCATCAAACCACCAAGAGCCAATTAAATCATCGGCAATTACTCAGGAATAGGTTTTTGATTATTTTTTTCTTTAAGCCGTATACAAGTTCATCCCCTTAACATCCAATTGCACATTTCAATTAAGATTAAAAAGGTCTAATCAACACGAAATCTCACATGAAGTGCCGAGTAGGGCATCGTAAAGCGAGACTTTGGCCACCACACCGTTCTGATACACAGCAATAAAGTCCGTTTAAAGTCTCAAACCGTTGCCAAGGAGACGACTCCTTTCATACATAGTCGTTTAGAAAAGAAAAAAAAAACATTTTCATTCAGGGGTTATAAAGAGGCCAATATAAGGAGTCTGTCATTGAGTCATTGATTTGCTGGCAGAGTTGTGCCCCTCCCTTCAAACAGTTAATGGGAGAAAAGACCATGAATAAAGACAACCAGCTCTACCTGACAACCACTGCTGTCCCTGTAGAGAGCCTTCCTGCTGCCTTTCTAGGTTAGCTTTTGATCCATTAGCTTTCAGTTCTTAATGTAATTTCCCATGAGGGCTTCCCTCCCCGTCAGTTTCTGGACTGCTGAATCATGAGACTGGAGTTTTCTGTTCTCAAAAGTTAAATATAGGCACCTCATAATTTTAACCAAGATCTAAACAATTTTGCCCCCTTTTTTTTTAGGATTTCAAAACTACAGCTCCCACGAGTCTTAGCTGTTGATGCTTGATCCAAACCTAATCAGAGCTGTGTTTTTTGAATGCTAGCAAGGTAATCATTGATTTCCCTTTATCAAAATGACAAGGTGCTCAAAGTTTACCATCAATAAAATGTACTTAAGCTTTGAAGCTGCTACAATGAATCCACAGTGGTGCACAAAACTACTTGTGTATGGAAAGTGTTGCTTGTAGCCTGATATTTCCCTCAGGAGTTGGTGGAGGCCAAATGGAAAAAGGAAGAGTGAATATTGGACTTCCATTTAACTGACGGACACAAACATACTGCCTAATGAATGCCAATACTGCTCCATATAAGCCAGATGTGTAGACAGGCAACTATTTGCCATATAAACTTAATAAAGTGAGAATGTGTCATGTGTTTACAGCTCGTTTCCACCCCCAGCTGCCAAAATAATCTTTAGTTATTAAATTATTACAGGTTTAAATATAGACAGAAAACCAGAGTATCATATTCAGGTTTTTGTAAGAGATCAATAAAAGAAACCTTCTATGGGAAAATACACTGAGGTCTGCTTTACTTCTAAACTAAGCAGTGGTTTGGGAACTTTTATAGCCTGGCCAAAGATGAGGGAAAAAAACAGTAATCCAAATTTGTTTTGGTCTAGAAGAGAAGTAAGGATTTTGAGAATATTCAATTATAAATAGGCTCTTCACTCTCACCTACAACCACAGTCACATTCCTTGTTCTTTAGCCTCAGATGTACTGTACGCGATCTCAAGAGAAAATCCCCCAACAGCTCCAAAGCTAACGCCATGAGTTCAATCAGTTCTTCCAGCCTCAGTTGAAATGACATGTACAACTCACAGATGTGTAAGAGGTGTTTTGTCATTTGTACTCTCACCTTTGATCTATACAGAAATAAACAAATTTAGCAATAAAAACGTCTAAACATGCCTATCAGTACAGCGACCCTCCAGTTATCACAGATATTGAGCCAGCTGCTTCACGCACACATCGAGGCCAAAGTGACGCAGCTCGGCTAAAGAAGACTTTTGCCAGACGTTAGAGAGAAAACGAAAAAAACGAAAAACAACAACTAGTATCCAAAGCATTTACATGTTAAAACGAGGTCTCAAACTGTAACAAGGCTTGTTTGCTTCTGCATCTTGCCAAAAGCAGCATTAAAGATTCATTACTTCAATGGTAACAGGTGTTTTTGAGTGTTTTGGGGATGCACATTAAATACTAAAAAAAAAGGGTAATAAAAAAAAAAAAAAAATCATGACCGTAATGAAAAGTGCCCACTAAAGTCCACCCGTGCTATGTACGAACACAATGTAACACATTGCTTTAAACCAAACGGAATGTGAGGAGTAAAATATGAAAGGTTTTAATAACTTAGATGATATGTGTTGAATTTTGAAATCACAAGTCCCATGATTTTGAAATCTACTATTCTACCCTCTCCAGTATGTGGAGGAAGACTTTGCAGTCAGTCAACAAGAAAATTTAAAAGAAAAAAAGGATTTAAAAGAGGTAAAGCACTGAGGAAAAGGTGTTCTTTTACATGTTACTGTATGTTGAGATTCTCCACTCTCTTTTACAGTATATACTCTCTCTGTCTGAGAGTGAAACTTGTATCTTGCTTAGCTTTCCAAAATTAGAGAGAGAAACACACTTGACACTTGAAATTGATAGACTAGTGAGGGGCCGTTATCTTCTTATTAAAGAGACATCAAAACCACGAGAAGATAAAATGAAGAGAATCCAAAGACCTTACCACAAGTCTGTTGCACAGTCGGCATCAGGTCACTCGAGCGAGTGAGACACAACAAAAACAGTGTCATGGCAAGACAAGTCACTTCCAACAACTCTGTTCATTCAGATACAGACAACATTTCCTATCCTTGATAGACACGGGGGGGGGGCGGGAGTACACTAATGGGCACATTCATTCACAGAAAAATTAAAGAAAAATGGAGAAAACGTTAAAAAGACCACCAAAAGCCTTCAGCTTAAGCACTAAGTATACACTTTTACATTACAACAGTAAAAAGTAGTTCTTGCATTCAATAAACACCACGCTATGGGCGCGTTAAGGAAAGAGAATGAGGGGAGAGAGAGGGGACGTGGGGACATTTCATGCAGTTGTCGGTAAAAAGAAAAAAAAGAGGGGTCAAAAATTACAGTTACATTTACAAAGTGTTTCAGACTATTCACCCAACACTTGTCATCAAGTCTGTGCCACAGTTCTGGCACAAAGGAGTTGGCAAGGCAAACCATGTTATTGAGACAAAAAAAGAAAGAAGAGAAGAGAAATGACATGACACAAGTAAGAGCGCAAGTGGTGGCGAAAGCTCCTGGGGGTGTCAGAGTTATGGTTTTAGTTATCTGATACCCGAGACGGAGCTCTGATTGATGCTGTAGGTAGGGGAGAGGTCCCCACCTATCGTGGCCACCAAAGGTGTTCCGTTACTGGTCAGGCAACTCTCCTGGAGAGCCTCGAAGTAGGTGGCCTGCACAGGCTTGTGACACTGCAACACTTGTATGGCATCGTCTATTTTAAACCATTCCCTTTTTCTCCCTGTTGACAGAACAAGACACCATTGTGGAGCAAGTTAAGACATGTGAGAGACAGCGGGAGTTAAAAAAAAAAAAACACAACACATTATGAAAATAGGTTTTGACTCATTATCAGTACTGTACGTGGCATTAGAGTGAAAATCACAAGGGCAGAAATAAAGCTGGTGTTATTGTCTCCCTCACTAAAAATCTCTGAACTGTAATATGGCTAAGGCCTGGGAAAGAAAAATAAAGCTACAGACGGCATGTGACTGCCTGAGAACTTTGTCCGTATGATCCCTACTTTGACAAGTAAACAAATGCAGTGCTTTACCAATGTTGACCGAGTCCTCCCAGTCCTCCAGCACCTCTGTTACAATAAGAACATAGACGTAGGTTCTGTGTTTCCTCTCTTGGTTCTGTAGGGGTGGGAAAAAATATCATATTTTAGCTTCTCATTCACAAACATGCTGCACAGTATGTTGACATTTGAAGACCAAAAAAAGCCTACTGCAAACAAACCTCGAATACTCCAACTAAGCGGCCTAAAGTCCCCTTCACACCGGCCTGTAAAATAAAGAAAAATGATTAAAATGGTGAGCAAATACATACCACCACTTACAACAGACAACTAATGGCTTTACTTAAATATGAAGAGGCAAGGGGGGGGCAAAAACATAACACTTGTACGATATAATGCAATCTAACAGCCTGAAAATAAACATTAACATCGTATTGTTTTCTTGAGACTGTCAGAGAAGTAATGATTTAATTTCTATGGTAAATTTGAAACTGTAGTTTGTTTGCGTTGCAGTCGATTAAACTGCATCCTAGGATTGTTTTTATCCCCTGTAAAATCACTTAATCTAATGCCTGTAATGCTGCTGAATCCTCAAAATAAAGCACAAGTAAAACATAAACACTCTCACTTAGTTTGACCAAAAGCTAAGTAATGTCCTACATGTGCTGATTCCCTCTTCATTCATTTCACACTTCAGTGCAATGAGGTCTATTTAAGCCTACAGTAAGATAACATTTATGAAGCAATCCAATCTGTGGAAACAACCCTTCAAAGTACAGGTGCAATTACAGTGTCAATTATATGAGGGCTGCAACTAACTATCATTTTCCTTATTGATTTAATCTGCCAGTTATTTTCTGTTGTTGATAGAAAATAGTAAAGTTAAAAATGCCCCATCACAAATCGCCCACAGCCCAAGCCTCAATGACAATGAAAAAGATATTTGAATTCCAATTATATGAAAATCTGAAAATAGACGGATCTTTTCGAAGCTGGCAACATTTGGTGAGAAATTACTTCAAGAATTACTCACGTAGCAAAAATTCTCTGTCAATGGATTAATTGAATAATTGATGCAGTTCTAAATTTAACAGAGAATACATGTAAACAACTCGGTTCAGCTATCACACACTGAAAGCTTCTCTAACGAGATGCGTCGCATATCATAAAAGGTCAGTAACGCACAACAGAACAACTGCCGCTACTCTTCCCAGGATCCTTAATCCCAAACCACGCCAGTGTTACAACCTTTCCTAGAGAGAGGAGAACGAACATTTCTCATAGCTTGTTACTTTTAAAACATATTCTAATAACAAAACTAATCTCCAAGGTAGCGCTAAACTCCCAGAGGTGACCACTAGGTCAGGTTTAGATACAGAGCCAGACCCCTTGCTGACATCTTTGCTGCTTCTTCTTCAGGTTCCAGTTTCAGTCTATAAATAAAATGTTGACTGAACGCACTGTACCATGGACTCAGTGTTGGACCCTTCAGGCCTTCAGCAAGATCATATGTTAAAGAACAGGCCCACCACTAGAAGCTCCGAAGACGTGCCAGGGATTAAGTAATAGGCCAAAAGTCAACCTGTATGTTTTTATGAGATGGAAAATGTCCCCCACTCAAGCATTCACGTAACTGAAGACAACTGGGCATCACACTGAGAGCATTGAGGCTGCATTACAACTTATGCAATACTGTCCTATGTCTTATTGGTGCGGGGTTTGTGAACCGTCAGATATACAAAGCAACCCTATGTAACCTTCGGCCTGCTCTTCGCTGTCATCCCTGGCAAGACTCCAGTGAGCATAAGCGATCACTCATAAAGACATCGGGTGGCGCTTGCCAGGTTAAGGATATGTCTCGTTACACCACCGTCAAATAAGAGGCTTAGGAAGCCACAGTACGTGCTGATGCATCGAGTACCACTCAAAATCACCACAAAGTTTCTCAATGCGGCCTTTTAGCACTTTTGACAAACCTCAGTAGCAATGTGACATTGCTTTTGACCGTGTGGAAATGTGTTGGCAAGCCGCGACGTCCTGCAACCATCAAAGCTACCAAACAGCGGGAGCCAGGATAAGGGATGATATCAGCATCCATCAGTGTGATGGATCACACACACAGAATAGGCTTTATATGGTCAGTGACCCGCCAAGGGCCGACAGCCGGGCGAGATTCAGTCTCTTCACTGCCTTGTGGCCCTTCTGACAGAAATGCCCAAGGGATGAATAGCATGTGCACAAGAGGGGAACCTGACTTAAGGGACGCACGGGCGGTATAATCAGGATATTGATTTACAATGAGCTTCAGAAGGGTTTACTAATTGCTACCCATCCTCCCCAACACGCTCATAAAGCTAAAAAAAACCCATTTTGTTCTTCAAAAATGCCTCTGTAACAAGGTTGCTGTTGTAAAAATAGAATAAAAGCTGATTGTTTTTCCTTCAGTTGCCGAATTTGTGAGATTGGACAGTGCTGCTCTGCAACCGCTGGGTAGCCAGTGTTCAATCTCAGTGTGACCTCCTTTGACACCTAAACACTGCTTTGTAACACGATGCTATGATACAGCTTACATGTTGCTAGGCTCTCTCTCTCTCTTTCCATGCAAACAGGATGACTCCACTGACGAAATGGGCTTTGAGAGCAAGGTATTAGGCCCAGTGTTAAATACAGACATGATTTAATAGAAATGAAACACAATACAACTTATGTGCCTCACTGCAACTGGAAATCCTTTCTCAGAACAATATTCCTGGCTATGAACTAAGTCTAGAAAGGCATGTTTCACATCCATGTTTCGGATACAAAGTTCAAGTAAAGTTTGCCAGTACAAAGGCCCCATAGGAAGGAACATCAGTCAGTTACAAGAAAAGGGAATAAATAGGCTCAAATTAGTCATAATAATGATGAAAAACCGTTACAGAACTGACCTCTTCACACACTTCTCGAGCTGCAGCAACATTGGGCTCCTCGTCGGGCTCCATTCCCCCTCCAGGTACTATCCACTTGTCAGGATGTCGACTACTGCTCACCAGCAGCACCTGCGAAGCATCCAATGCAAGACCAGTTAGGCATTACTGTCTGACTCAATGCCGTTTGTTAATAGTGTTCACATTACACAAGTGTTGCTGCTTGAGCAAGACATCCAGTGATCTGCGTTACTAATAGACGCAAAAAGAGCCAAACCCCAACATGTGCTACAACAACGACCGGTCAACACTGTCAGTGAAGTGACCTGGAGCTGAGTTATATCATGTGAATGCAGTTAACTCACAATATGGTTGCAGGCAAACGAGTAACACATTTTCCCCACTACCAATAGTAAGTTTATGACTCACTGAGTTGTCCTGCTCTCCCCCCCCCCAACCCCAAATAAGAATGGTGAGTTCATGGTGTCAACAATCTGTTGGACAAAAGCCAATCTGGTACATTACAGAAGTTTATAGGTACATGCAGGTCATACAGATGTGTTTCCTGTAAGCAACACCGTCTGGCTTCGACTTGAACCAGAATGAGGAATTAGTTGTGTCTCAATTCGTTTCCTTCCTTTCCTGGTTACAAAAAAAAAAAAAAAATGTTTCCACTACAAAGACATCTTTGTGCGTGCTGTTGACTACACATCAGCTTCCCAAATCGCCTCTGATCTCCACTAACCCTTTACAGGCTTCTCTGAGTGGTTTTCGTGTGAGGGCAGCACAAGTGGCACATTAAACAGGGATGTTAACTAAAGAAAGGTTTCCATTCTGACATCAAACCCGGCGCATGATCCCAAATTGGTAGTATTTGTGCACTGAATACATACTGATGTAACGCTGAACCAGCCAGGTATCACCACCAGTGTTGTCTTGTGGCTAATAGCTAGCTGCATATCAGTGCAATGTTTGGGTAGTTGCATTAACGCTGACACAGTTGCTCCAATAATCTGTTATATGAGCAGATAAAAATCACGGCCTGCCACTGTGGAAAGCCCGAACAATGATTTAATCCAGCCACATCTCAGTATGAGCAAGCTAACGTGAGCACTGTGACTGTGGGTATAAAAACCAGGAGGTTGCTACACGCTCAGCTAAAGAGGCTTAATTACATAACACTTGGGTAAGTACGAGCTCAAAAAAAACAACTAACGTTTAATGTACAACCTCGGAAGACAATACGAGAGGGATTCGTCGTTTTCCAAGTGGCATAAAACCCCCCCTCACAGCTGTGTTTATAAAACGATTTACAGACAGAGAAGACCATGAAATGAGCCGCGGCTGCTGGTGTTAGCACGGCCCTGTCAGACGGCCACATCCTCGGACTCACCTCCTCCTCCGTCTCGCTCCTGAAGCACAGACAGGCGGCCCGCTTCTTGTACCCGTCCCCGTCGTACGTCCGGGTTTGGTTTGACTTGAGCTTCATCATTTCAAAAGGGCACAAAAAGTTCAAAAGTACAGCTAAGTTTACCACTTGTGAAAGGTGATGGTTGTAGACAGCAAAGTCCTCCTCCGGGGGGAAACCTCGGCGTTGTTTTTTTTGTTTTTTTTTTTTACTTAAAAGAAATAACTTCTTCTTCGCTTCATTTTCACAAACCTAGGGCACATCTACGGCACGGTCGCCATTACAAGGAGCCGCTACGCCCACGACGTAATTTAACCTTTAATAGGTCGGGGAGCGTAAGGAAAGTGCGCAGCGGACGTCGGAGAATTGGGGCAGCGGATACGACGAAAACGCAACACCACGCTCTGACTGGAGCGAGCCGGTGAGAGAAACTGGCACTTTTGGCTCCAACCAGCTTGTCACGGACACTTGTTTGAGGCTTGATGTATGAATTAAGTGAGTTTTTATTTTTTATTTTTTTTTCTTCTTCGGAGCCTTACTTCGGAGGATTTAAAATGTAAAAACGTCATATACAGGTTTATTTTTATTTTTTTTATTTTTTTTTATATATATATATATTCCGTCATAGTTACAAAATGGTTGCGATGCTTGGTTTTTGATTTATCAATTTCAGCACCTCAGGTAATGGACAGCGCCTGCACGAGCCTCGAAACTGATCCCAATAATGTTTAAACATAAAAGAGGGAAGGCTTGTTTTCACCCTTGATCCTTAACAGTGTAGAGCTGAAACCATTAGTCGGTTAATACATTTAGGCAATGGACCGAAGCTTAATTAGCAACCACTTGATAATCAGTTAATCGTTTCAGTCACTTTTAACACACAAAAAAGGTCTGACATGTTAGAATTTGATGCTTTTCTTTGTCATATGATAATAAACTGAATATTTGTGGGGTTTTATCTGTTGGTCAGATAAAACAAGTAATTTCCCAATCGATTTATTGAGAAAATAATCGGCTGATTAACTGACAAGGAACATGACTGTTAGTTCTTCAACAAATTATTTAAACCATTTTATTATTATTATTATTATTATTATTTGATTATGAGAATTATTGTCAATTCATTGTTTGTCTATCAAATAATTCATTAATTTCAGCTCTAGATCTGATACCAAGTAATACCAGGTTCACAATATCCAATATCAATACTGATATTGATACTTTTCATTGTTCAGGTTAATGTACATGTACATAATGTCATTGGGTGTGAGCCATGTGTCTTGATTCATTATGTGAATGCATCATTATCAGTTTTACTCTCTCATTAACTAGTGAAAATGCATGTTAAAACACATGTTTATTATGATAAATAAAGTGTTCATTCTCTGAACCAATCAGATAATCAGTGACATTGCTTAATTTTTTACTTTATTTTTTTGTTTTACAAATCTCAAACCGATGCCATAGTGGAAGAGTTTTTGCCTTTTTGTCTGATTCCATCCTGATTTATCAGTAGTTTCTTCACAGCTATGGAGTGTGTACATTCTTGATTTCAGAAATCAGCAATATGTACATCTGCATTATATTAAAATATATAAATGTATTTATATTGACAGCTGCCATTTACGTGCTAATAAGCTGAGCTGAAGATTTGATTGATGAAAAATGATTACCTCTGCCAACAGAAAAAAATGACATGTTTAAATTATTTCAATGTAGAAAGATGGAGGGGAGAGGGTTTCTGACCAGCAATACTATTCATATAAACAAATATAAAATGAAACAAATAGCAAGTGAATAAAAATGAAGATAGATAGATAGATAGATAGATAGATAGATACTTTATTTATCGCAAGGGAAATTCAAGTATTCAAGCATAGCTACAAGCAAGAACATGCATAGCTACAAATAAGGCATACAATCCAATTTATATGCACCACAAATTGTCAGCGTAATGATTTCTTGCATGTCTTGTTTATTCCATTCTACTCGTTCATTGCTCATTTTAGTTTGTATCATTTTGTGTCTTCTTTCTGTTGATGTCCCATTGCGTTTACTGCTGAAGCAATCCAATTTCCCACCAGGGATCAATACAGTTTCTTAACGTATATTTCCTCTCGAGGTTTTCCCAACAGATAGACATTTGAAGTGTATCTTACCTCCCTCTTGACTTCTCAGATGGCTCTTCATTAAAGTAAATCCCTGCTTTTCCCATCCAAAAAGCTATTTAGCGTCAAACTGAGAAATCATCTTTTCAAATGGTCTGCAAATGTGTACAAATATTGGTGTTATATGACATTTATATATTTTTAGAATGATGCAGGTGTCTTTTTATATTTTTATTATTATACTATTACTATTCATATGTTTAGATATGTATAATAAGTACACCCTTTACAAGCATAAACATGAAAACCTGGGAGGTCCACACAATATTACAAACACATACGATATAATTGCAATCAGCTACAGTATAGATCCTTTATAAAAGTTTGTGGTGTTAGAACTGGTTTATTTTAGTGTGCCTGACATTTGTTCCCACTTGTGCATGGCTTTGTGTGTGTTTGTGTGTGTATGAAATGTATGACCGTTGTAAATGAACACGTTTCTGACACACTCTCAAAAAACTTTAACATTGTAGGTCTAAAAAAACAACAACTGACCTTTCTGCATGTTTTGTTTTTTTGTGTCCACCACCCCCTGTGGTGTAGTTGCTGCTGACATTTTCTAATATATCGCCTACAGTAAAAACATTATAGGATGCAGGAAAGAACTTGTAATTAGGTGCATGTGTTGCCCCAGCTGTGAGCAGTACCCCACATTAACATATAAACATAATTACAGTATAGTAAAAAACAAAAAATTCTTTTTTTAAAGCAGAAGTCAGTATTCAAGTCAGCATATTCTCAGAAGAGAAACTGTTTAATTTATTGTAATTATTCACATTCAGCAATAACCACAGACCTACTGTTGACCACTGGGAGAAGATTATCAGAGGGCAGTGAGAACATAATACACAAATGCTACAGAAGACTACAAATGGCATCAATCTGTGTGGTTATAAACATGCAGCAAAAAACATGCTGACAAACTAACTGCAAATTAATGTGCATATTCTGTGATCATGAAAAGTAATTGATTTTATTTAATTAGGCAAAAGGGATTAATATGAAGATTTTGCAATCAAATGTTTTTGTTTTATTTTTTCGTTTTAACTACAAAGACACGTGTTGCTGAGGTAAAATGTAAAATCTTGTCATCTTAGGGTCAGAGAAAATAAAAATCTTTCTTGGGTTTCATCCTGTGCTGTCTGCCTCTCGCTTCTTTCAGGGGGATGAGAGCAGGCTTTACACAATTAAACATATCTGTATAGGGTCATACTCAAGAGGTTGCACTTTTACTGTCTGCAGTTGCTACGGCAACCCATTCTCTTTGCAAGTCTCTGGTGAACCATTTACACACAGGAGCAGAGAGACAGTCCCTGTCACGTCCAAAAGAGGGCGCTCACTTCTTTCAGTACATAAACCAGTACATGAACCAGTTAAATGAAATAAAGTCATACCTACATTTACAGAGGATTAGCAGTTTTGAATATAATATATGGTTATGTTTCAACTGGTGATTTTTCAATGACTTCCTGTTTACATGGATAGTTTATTTGTTTTTGTTTGGACAGCCCTAAAGATGTTTTCAAGAAACTGATTTACACCTCTCCAAGTCTTAGCTAAGACATTGTTTTTAACCAGATTTAGTAACTCACTAGTTTGAAACTAGCTAGTTTTCATATAGGAGAGACTTCACACACAAACATGCTGGATTTACAAAGAGCTGCTGCAACCCAATCAATGTTTAGTTTTTTGTAAGAAGAGAACATTAATTTGAGTAATTTGTTACATGATAGCAGACAACCAGGGTTTCACTGTGGCAACAGTAAATGAGCAGAGACATGTGTCTTTAGTGCTATATCTCTCTTAATGTGGCAATTCCTGTGAAGATGTATGACACACAACCAAAGGCTGTGCAGCGGCTGAGGTTTGTTTAATCGAAGACTGCGAAGATATTGGCAACATTAACCTTTCCAGCACCTTGTTTCTCCAGGTAAATATGCACGTTAATGACTAAATAAGCAGGAGATTGTGTTGTTCTGCCCAGGGCCAGAATAGATTGTGCTTGGTTTCACACGTAAGAGAAGCAATTTACAATGTTGTGGTTTTCTGGGCTTAAAGTGACATTGCCCTCTCTCTCCCTGTGTGTACGGCATCCTTTGCTGAAAGGTATCAGCAAGTTCTAAAATCATTCTGATATAAGCTATCACACAAAAGTGTTTTTTATTGTATGTTGTGAAAAAGAAGTATTTCAAATCAGAACGAGTAAGAACCAAATTTCTTGTTAATCAAGAAAATCTACTTTAGATGTGTAATTATCACACACAAATCACTGTTATTGCACTTCATATGAATATACCATCAATCAACGAATGTCTCAGCTATGTTATACTTAATAAAAAGCTTGGATATGTTATTTCTTGATCCAAATGTCTATGGCTTATATACCCTTCAGGGTTTGTTGTAATTTCCCACATAGTACATTTAAGGATGCTAAATGTCATTACCACCAGGGGCTGCTGTCATGCCAGTTACAACCGGCCCGAACTCATATTTCTACTGACATTCAACAATTCATCTACTACTTATTTATTTAATAGCCTACGAGCAAAGAGATCATGTATACAGCATATTCATAGAATATGAAATCTGTGAAATGTAATTCAAAGTTTGCTATTAACAGTGATATACAGTAGTTGGATATAGTTGTTACAATACAGAAAAATGTGTTCCCACATTGTCTGTGCCTCAGGGGTGACGCCAGCATCAGCCCTGTAACAGCACAAATGTGTGTCACAGTAAAGCAGGCGACTGTCCCTTGAATTCATTCCTTAATTTATTTCAGGTTAATTTCAAAACACCATGGAAACATGTCCTGCAACAATGACCAAAAGGCACATGAGCTTTCAGTGAGGAAAGGTGGAATGAGTATGCTTCCACTCTACTCAGTAGACACCCACAGGAAATTCATATTTTTAGATCAAAGGTACATATAACATCCACATACTGTACTTTATTGTCCTTTTTGCGATTTTGGCATCCCATAAGAGGGGTGCTTGGCTGTCACCTCTGAATGCCAACTACAACATAAGGCTGTCCTTCTGTACACAGTCGTTTACAAAGACTTTTTTGTATTTTGTGATTGGTGTTGATTTGATTTGCATATCTTATTTTATCTGACCACAAATCCAAATATTTAT